ATCCACATACACTGAATTTCCTACAAGAAGGGACACACCTCAAACTTTAATTTCATTCAAATTATTGTTGGAGAATTTACACCGATTATCGTGCATATTATATTCACAACAAACATACTGGTTGTATGCATGAAATCGAAACGTAATCCAACTTACCAAAATTGGATTTAATAAGGAGAAATGATAATTTACCGATTCTGAACTCAAGAATATGGATTCTTCCCTTTCAATTCTTGAACGATCGAACCTTGCAACATAAATATATAAATCAGATTAATCAATTTTCTGAAATCAAAGTATAATTAACAGAAACCAGAAAATAAAGGGAGAAGATGCATGTGATGAATTTTTGGTCGAGGCAAGTGTTGGACACTTTATCCTTAAGATGAATTTGCTCTGCATCGGTGCTAACGGTTCTCGGGCAATCATCTCCCAAGATACAACGATCACGTCGAGTCATAGGAGCACTCCAAATGACTTCGACCAACGAACTCGAACGAAATTTCCTCTCTACCATGACCATGATTTTGATGCAAATTGAAATCACTTCTAAAAGTGTTTTATGCAACATGATATGAGAGTATATATATATTTTTAAATCATTAAAATAAACATCCAAATGGTCCTATATATAAGAGTTGAAGGGTGGTAGGTGAAGGGACACACCCCAAACTTTAATTTCGTTCAAATAGGACCGAATTTCTCATTCATATACAAATTGGTCCTCAACCAATTTCCAAAAATCCCCCACATGAATGAAAGTTCCATGTATGCAAATGATAATGCAGACACTAGTAGAGAGAGAGCGGAAAGACACTGCATCAGGTAAGGTAGCTTTTGGCTTTGAACCTTCCATAGTGAAATACCATCGGATTTACTATCTAATTGGTGAACGCGATGTTCTTGAACCATCAGCCGTTGGTGTAAACCAAGGCAATAGTACTCACACAATATCTCCCCTAAACCATTCATGGTTCTCATGACTTGGTTCATTTTCGCCCTGAACCCATCTTGGTTCTGCAAGTGTTTAGAGAACTCAAACCCTGAATAATTCTCATTGAAGCGGCTCCACTTCACACTCACATAGTTGATCTCTTATTAAGAGTATTCTGCCCTACTTTACTTGACTTAATCAAGATATAGGAATCATTAAAAGTTTATCTTAACCTCCAACCACTCTGCAGAAAGCATTTTGGTATAATAGAAATGAGTTATGGAAATGTTATCCTCCTTCCTACCAACACTTAAAAGTGTGGGGTGTTTGGCAAAGGTTGTGGTTCCTAAGCCTAAACAAATAAAGAGTGGTTCCAAAACGATTGATTGCATATTTATTGGATACGCCAATAATAGTAGTGCATATCGTTTCCTTGTACATAAATCGGGCGTACATGAGGATACCATAATTAAGTCAAGAAATGCGATATTCTTTGAGAATGTGGTTCCTTGCAAAGACAAGGAAAATGTAAGTTTGAATAAAAGAACATATGAAAAGCTAGAAAAAAGGGGTCTTAAAACATTCTTAAATAAAAATTCCACAAACCTAAATAACTATAAACAATTAACCCTGTTACAGGTTAATTTATGCTGAAATATGAAGAATTCAAAGCAAAATCAAATCCAACTAAAAATGGGGTTGATGAGGCCGGACTCTAAGGCGGAGGACGATCCGGGAGCTTTCTTGTTTCTTCAACGATTAAGAGAGCTTCCCTTCTCCGATGGCCACTGTTAAAATGCGCACCACCCATTTCAATCTACCCCACACCTTAAAGAAAAAGGATGCCATCGTGCCATAGTAAAAAACGCAAGGTCTTTGCTAGCACTCACACACAAGCTACATAGCCAAGGGTTACAATTTCTGCTTATCCTACACCACTTGAAACACAAAGAAAACTTAAGGTCACTGCTCGCAAAGGTCGAGTTCGAGTGAAATTTTCCATCCTGTTGTCCACTTCGTATGGAACTGTTATCAGCATTTGCGAAATATTCAATGAAGGTCGAACAAAGAGAAGACAAAAAAATCAAACGATTAAGAATAGTTAAAATGGAATCATGGACCAACAATACATGAGAAAAGCAAAACTATGTTATGAGAATTGTTCGACTACTGAACAATCGTCGATGAATTTTTAAAGTTTGCTTGTTATCGAAATTTTTAATTTTTTAAATGATGTCTCATTTTACACTAAAAATAATTTAATATCAAGAAATTTTCTAAACCACGTAAAAAAATTTATCAGATTATTTACAAAATTAATTTTGTAGTAGTAATGATATATTAATTAAGTTGAAAAATTAAAATAGGATTGAAGAATAAAATGGGAAAATGAAAATACTTCACAAATGAACATTAATGACATATTCATTCTTACAGTGTACGAATAAAGAAAAGTAGGAAAAATAAATACAAAACCACTGAATTGCAGCAATTTTTTACTTTCTGAACAAATTTTGATGAAAATACCGTGATATTCTTAAATTTTTTAAATTTTACACCATCACAAGGATATTTTGGACATTCCAAACAATTTTTAACTGACGACTGCAGATGTGGGGCCCAATAAACTCGTGCAAGGGTAAAAAATTCTACATAACTTTGGTTGGAATGACTATACTCAAGTCTTGTGTTGTTTTCTTTGAGGAAAGAGGGATTGCTAAAATATTTGAGGATAAAATAGGAAAGTAAAATACGTCCTGAATGAATAATAACTGGCATATTAACTCTTTTATAGTAGTAGTGATATGCAATAATATAAAGTGTTGGTAATGTGCTGATTTCGGTTTGCGAGGCTGGAATTTATATAAAGAAACAAGTACAAAATTTTGGCTTCTTTATGCTCCATGAACCTTCTATACGTGCTCTATATGGCTGAAATACAATACAAAATGAGTAAAAATTTCTCACTTAATCTAACTTAACCCTAATTTTAGGATCTATATAAACATGTAAAATATATTTGTGAATATCTCAAGATGTATAAATAACTTAAGTGTTTATAAATACTTTGTACTCGAGTCAAATATTAGCCAACTGATAAAACTAAACCTCAAATACATAATTTAAAAGTATAAAGTTTTGCGGTTTGTGAGTCTGTGATAGATAAATAAAATTGACGTAGACAATAGGAGATTGGACCTAAACCTAAGATGTACGATCCGAAATTCTTGATCACAAATTTTATGCATGAATTTTTGGGGAAAGTGTGTTTTAAAATAGTGATTTTTAAAATAAAAAAATATATATGAATGTATGTGTAATATTATATGATGTAAGAATATATGATTAAAAATGGATTTTAAAAAATGTATTTTTGAAAAAATACAAGATGTCGTATAAATCAAAATAAAAAACCATTATATATATCACACAAGTTTATACTTATTGTCACCATAGCTATGCAATTTGATTTTATTTCACCATGACTAATTAATTTCATGCAACGTTTCACTATGACCATCCAAATTCATGGCCCCGTTTGGGAGTGATTTTTCACATGAAAAAATTAATTTTTTGATCGTTATTTTACTATTTTAGTCGTATTTTTTGACTTCTTCTCTTACATGTGACCCCACTTTTTCCCTAACGATCAAAAAATCAATTTTCAAAATTACTACCAAGCAGGCTCCATATAACGTTTCACCATAACCATCCAATTTATTTTCACTATTTTTCCCTATTTTTAAAGGGGTAAAACGGTAACTTTTCATTATATATATATATATATATATATATATACTAAATTGAAAAAAAATAAAAAAAATTGAAAAACTTTACTAAAAAATAAAATAAAGATTTATTTTAAAAAAATGTTACTCAAAAAATTAAAATAAAAACTAATTTTAAAAAAAAAGTTGCTTAAAGAAATAAAATAAAAACCTATTTTTTAAAAAATATTCTTAAATAAAGTAAAAACTTATTTTTAAAAAAGAACTACTTAGAAAGAAAATAAAATAAAAAATTATTTTTAAAAAACGTTCCTGAAAATAATAAAATATAATATAAATGTATTTCAAAAATAACTTTACCTAGAAAAATAAAATAAGAAAAAATATTTTTAAAATTAAAAACCTTTATTTTTTTTAAAATTTATTTTATATTTATTGCAAAGTTATCATTTTATCCAATATAAAATTAGTTAAAAGAGAGCAAAGAATTTGGGTGGCTATATTGAAACGTTACATGAAATTGGTTAGTTATGGTAAAATAAAATAAAATTGAATGGTTACGATGATATTAAGAATAAAGTTGAATGATTGAATGGTCATAATAAAGTTAAATTTATTTTGGGAGTGATTTTGAGAATTGATTTTTTGACTGTTAAGAAAAAAGTGGGGTCCACTGTGAAAGATGAAATCAAATATGACGATTGAAATAGTAAAATAACGTCCAAAAACTCAATTTTTTGAGTTAAAAAATCAGGCCCAAACATGCTCTAAAAATTATAAAATTAGTTAAAAGAGAGCAAAGACATTGGGTGGCTATATTGAAACGTTACATGAAATTGGTTAGTTATGGTAAAATAAAATAAAATTGAATGGTTACGATGATATTAAAAATAAAGTTGAATGATTGAATGGTCATAATAAAGTTAAATTTATTTTGGGAGTGATTTTGAGAATTGATTTTTTGACTGTTAAGAAAAAAGTGGGGTCCACTGTGAAAGATGAAGTCAAATATGACGATTGAAATAGTAAAATAACGTCCAAAAACTCAATTTTTTGAGTTAAAAAATCAGGCCCAAACATGCTCTAAATATAAATTTGGGTGACGATTTTATCCCATAATGTTAGAGGAGGAGAGGGCATTTCAAGAACCTGTATTTCATCTCTCCTGTACAAATTGCAATCCACGTCAAATTTCCTCAGCTCCAATTTTCCCAATTTTCCTATTTTGATAAAATTCATACAAATTTTTTTGCTTAAACTTTGCATTTGAAAATGGCGAATTCTGAGGAATCAAGCCCCCTTTTGCCAAACCAACAAGAAGAACAAATGATGCAGGCTGAAATGAAATCCGGGGTCACCGCTAAAACTACAGCTCCTCCGCATGTAGAGGCGGTGAAACAATCGCATACGGAGGTACCGATGGGCTGGCCTGCTGATGGGCTGCCTCTGAGCGTGATGGGTGAGCCCATGGCCATGATGCATAGGGCACAATGGGACTCCGGCCTCTGTGATTGTCTTGGAAGGAACGATGACTTCTGCAGCAGCGATCTTGAAGTTTGTGAGTTTTTCTTCTTCTTTTTTCATTGGAATTTTGTCTGTTTCTTGGGAAAGGGTACTTGATCTGATTCTTTGAATTTTAATTATTAATGAAAATGTTTGTTTCTTGGGGGAGTTTATTGGTTTTGGGTCATTGATTGATAATTATTAATTGGTAATTGTTGTAAAAATCAGCTAAAGTCCAGTGAAATTGTGGATATAAGAAAAATAATTGAGAACGAATTATCCAGAGAAAGAATGAGATTTGTTCCTAGGAAGCAAAAACTGATCATATGATCACACGCATCATGAAGCTCTTGATTTTGCACCCCTTCCAGCACTGAGCAGGGTCAGCCCCCATAGATGGTCTTAGGACTTTGCGGAGACTTTTGTTTTTGGTATAGTTGGTGGCAATAGCTTACCATGGCAGTGGTCAGTAGCTAGTCCTAGAGGATGACAAACTACACGAGGCAGTCTCCCGGGCCTGGTCACTGCTACTCCCTTTCTGGGAGGAACCCCTTCTCCCGAAGTTACGGGGCTATTTTATGGAATTCATGAATGATCTTTTTTCTTTTTAAATTTTTGGAAGCTGTTGATTCTGCACTGGATTTCTTGAAATATTTATTCGGTCACAGCATATTACATATCTTTCTTTTTACTCGTTCAATTTCGATCTTTAATTGTCTTTCAATTAGAATTTGTTCTAGGCCTTAAGATTTAACTATAATTCCTATGTTTCTCGTGGTGCATTATTTCTGTTTGATGACTATGATAGTGAGCACTGAGCAGGTTTATTGGGTAGTATGGTCCCTTGCGTGCTCTATGGAAGCAATGTCGAGAGACTTGGAGACACTCCTGGTACTTTCAGTAATCACTGCTTGCCATACACTGCTCTTTATTTGCTTGGGAATTCCTTTTTTGGCTGGAACTGTCTCGCACCCTGGTTTTCATATCCAGTACGTTCAGCCATTCGCCAGAAGTTTAACCTAGAGGTTAGTCTTCTTGTAAAATGTTCTAGCAACTCTGCCATGTGCAACGTACTGCTATAATCGACCTTGTAAAAGTTTAAGAGATGTTATGATTGACACCGAAAATCCAAAGCATGAAAAGGGGGGAAGATTTCAAAGTATCAATATGGGACATTACGGATGCTATGACATAGTTATATTATCATGGAAACCTATATTTGTTGCATTACGGCATCTCATAGAACAACATTAAATTATTTAACACGGGACTTTTACGGATTATGATTTGCTTTTGAGGACTTTTCTTTTAATACATTGCTCGATGTAGATCTTTATGTGAAACTTGCATGTTGTTCGAACTGGAATTGACTCACTTGAAAACCATGGCTAACTGATAAGCTATTATATTAGAAACCATTTTATGTAATTTTCATTTTCCGTCGGAAGAACCTTCTAAGGGATTAAAATCTGTTTGGTGGTCCGTTAACTGAACAGGGAAATTGCGAGGCGCTTGCTAGATCCTGTGGATGTTGTGGAAGCTTTATGGAGAATGATGTTCAACGTGAGCAATGCGAATCTGTCTGTGATTTTGCAACTCATGTCTTCTGCCATCTATGTGCCCTTTGCCAGGAAGGTCGTGAGGTTCGTCGCAGGCTCCCTCATCCCGGGTTTAATGCTCAACCAATCTTGGTCATGATTCCGCCTGGGGAACAGGCCATGGATCGTGGGGTGTAATGTAATTACGCGCTGGGCGTACAGGGTTTGCATATTCGTATTGTTTTGATACTATTTTTTTGAACTTGTGTTGAAATGTATAATGAATTTATGTTTTAGTCAATTAATTTGTCAAGTGAAAAATGTTGATACTGTATTGTCTCTGTTTAAAACGTGTAAAGTTACTTCTGAAGATACTTGTGCATGTTTGGATATTATTTCTAACTAGTTTTTGAACCTGTTTGAATAAATTTTCTGGAAGTACTTTATTTTATTTATTTATTTGTTTTTTTCCCTGGAAGGAGCTTTTAAAGAAAGCTGATCTAAGGTTAACCATCTGGAGCCGGATTCGCGCATGTGACAGTGAAATCAAAATCACATTATTCAATGTCTAAGTTATGGCATAATAATGTTCAGCTAATAAATTATAACAGGCTCGGTTGCAAGGAAATATCTATTTACATACACCAAAGATCCAACTTGAGCAATGACGATAATCATCAAAACTTGAACAGAAATTAACCAATTAATGAAAAAATCATCTGATAAATTGATTGCATGCATGATAAATCCTGAAATTTGTATGTTCCATTTTATCGATCACCGACAACTAAATAAACTCACCTTGAAGAGTTCTTCGGAAACAATTTTGCCAAAAATCATATTTTCTATGCTGTTTGGTTACCTGATTGATTTGTAAATTCTAATGTGAAGGCTAACCAACCAAAGGGCCATGGTAAATTCATTTTAGGCATAAGAACAGCAATTATATTCGAAATCTTTATTATATTCTTTATCAACGTTGTCATCCATTATTGTCAACAACAATTGTACAAGTAGATTAATTCGAAATGATTATATTGTGCCGTTTCACGTTGCTTTTGCTTACGTAGAAAGTACACCCCCATCTATATTTGAAGATCAATATTCCAAAATTAGATTTGAGGTTTATCATTTCAAACATTAGATATTTTATTTTAATTAATATTTTTACTGAATATATATACTTAATACACTTACATCATAAGCCTTAATTTTTTCCCACTCTTCTATCTCTATCTACATTTCTCCATTCTATCTCTATACCACCCATCGCCTCCAACAATCACGAACTCCTCACCTTTCCGTCGTCCTCACCCGCTCAGCCCCATCACCTCTCATCTCCTTTCCTGTATCTATATCTACATGTATCTCTCCTATTCTTATATATTGACCTATATTTTAAAAAAGAGCACGTTAAATAAATTTCAAGTGACGTTTTTTATAATAATAGAGACCTTTCCCTCTATTTTCAAAAATTTCAAAGATCTCTAAAGTTTTCTTTAGGTAGCGTATTCTTCCTATCAGCAAAAGGTAAATATTTATTTTTCATTTTTACTGTTTCGTTATTATTTTTCTTATTATTTATTAAGATGTAATTTTTCATACTTTTTTTTAAATTATATCTCTAAATGATTACAATAAAAATACTGCAGATTACTTTAAAATTCGAATTTGTTTGTTAAAATTCCAAGAACTTGGTCCAATCCCACGGTCGAGTTATGAATTTTTCCGATCCGGTCGATCAAAATGACTTAAGTTTAAAACTACAGTAATTTATAAGATTTTGTTAAAGCATTTTTCTCTAGGTTTATAAGAGATTACGTCGAATTATCATATGATTGTTTTCCACATGAAATTATTGGACCAACTTTTATGTTTATGAGAGAGGCCTAAAGCAAAATAGCAGAAACCTAACCATTGTTTGAGCATTTAAATGAAGCAGGTAGTGACTAGACGGATTGTAAATTGTGGTTCGGCGACATCCATAAACACATCGATCAATTCCAACATGGTACAATTACGAATTGGACCTACGAGCTAGCATTTACATTGGAAATATCTAACTTGTCCTTGTGTAATTGTTGTTGAGTTTGAAGTTAGGTATAGGTTGATGATTTCAAAGTAGATTTTCCAATTATTGTATAAAGAACATGAAGACGTCGTGATTTGTTATCGAATTTATGTGAAGGAGCTTAGTCGAATCTCATTTTGAGTTTAGGTTAGAAACCAAGCGTACAAGAAATTTGACATGATGAACTTGTGGGAATTTTTCTTCGTGATTTAATATTGATATAGATGAAAGTCATTAATTTAGGGAGGGATTAATGAGCGAGGCTCCTGTTTTGTGATGATTAAAATTAGAATTTTAGTAAATCTTGATAAAAGTTTATGAAATGTGAGATTGAAAAGTTGTGAATTTCACAAAATATGTAGTTAAAATTAATTGCTGACTTTGATTTGATACTAAATAGAAGCTTAACTATGATGATATTAGGAATAGATGACCAAGAAAAATTTAGATTCCACTTCCAATATTATATAAATAAAAATAATGTTATTTTAATTTGAAGAAACACTGTTATAAAATTATTTGAATGGATCTCAGTAACTTATTTTAACTTCTCAAAAATTATACCAAACAGCCTTAGCGATATAGCAAAAATATAAAATTCAACTACAGAATCACTTCATTTTCCCTTCATATCCATTAATCAAAGAAGCATGGGCCATGCTATATGGACAGGCCCCTGTCCAAACGAGTTTTATCCAAGAAGCATCAATGCAAAACCTAAAACGTCAACCTAAGTTTGCGTTTCTTCTATTGTCAATTATCGTTACACTTTGCTAAACCTCTACTCAAACTCTCATTTCTGCTTTTTGACTTGCAACTCTTTCTAAGAAAGCAACCACCCACCATCCTTCCAAAACAATTCAAGAAAATGACACCCACCATTTTCATTATTGTCTCCACTTCTAACTAATTGTTGACAAGGAAAATGAGCGTTACTATGTACTTTAATTAGAAATTCACTAGAGATCGACCTATAAGAAAAAGGTGTTCAAGCTAAGGTTCAATTTAACGATAAGAAGCAAAATCACAATCATAACTTCATTGTTTTTTCTATAACAACTTATCAAAAACAAAATGGCTACCGTTGACGATTGACACTTTATGATTAACTTATAAAAATTGAACAGAATAACTGCGTTATATATTGTTGAAAAATTAATAAAATTCTAGATTAAGTAAGGACATATTATTTGTTAGAGTTCGTGTATTAGTATTACAAAGATATCATTCAATTGGGCCCTTATTACTAAATATTTATCTTTCTATATAGATCACTAGACTAGAGTACGAAGTCCTAGTTAGTTGAGGTACAATGTTTGACATGGACCCTTGTTTCAACGTCCATTTTAAAGAGATTTGATTGATTGATGAATTGATTTCAACTTTAAATATTTAGGTCATCCTAAATTTACTTTGATTAATATAATATTACGCATAAATCAGAAAACTTTTCATTCTCTTTTAAATATACATTTCAACATCAATAACTATTTCATAATACACTTTTTTTAAATTAAAGAAACACAAACATGCCCTTAGAAAGTTGAACCATGGATAGTCGTTATTGGGAGTACAAAAGACAAGATGAGAATGGACAAAAATGCTATTATTGCAATCCAATCTTTGGACATACACAAACGTTATTGATTCTAAATACATAATAAAATAAATAAAAGAATTACATAAAAGTTAATTAATTAACAAAAGATGGCTGGAATAATCTCAAACTACACTCCCCGGTCAAATTTTCATCGATCAAACCAAGTCCATACCACCATTGCCGCCACCGGTAAAACTGTTTTCCGAAGAGGATGTGGAGAGGGTGATCATGGCATTCAAATCAGAAACACTGTCCTGCAATGTCATTAGAAGATGTGATGTGCTAAAACTCATGGTTGGCTTTGTTCTTGGGACAATTGGAATTTCCCCCTCTCCTACTAGCATTTGGACCACTCCCCTCATTGTAGGCCTAGCCATCGGATCCGGGTGGGAACATGCCAACCCGACCAACAACACCCGTGTCATCTCAGCCTCGTCGAAATCATTCCCCAGCCGTTGGTCAGCCGCCACCAGCAGCCGCCCTTCTTGATGCAAACTCCACACCCATTCCACCAAATTACTACTCACTCCAACTTTCCCTACACCAGTAACATCTTTCTCAATTGGCCTCCGCCCGCTCGCCACCTCTAGCACCACCGCGCCGTAGCTGAATATGTCGGTTTTCTCAGTCGCCCTTCCTGTTAACAAATACTCAGGCGCCAAGTACCCCATTGTTCCAGCAGCCACCGTTGCATCAGGGGATTTATCATGCTCAGTTTGCCTCGCCAATCCGAAATCCCCTAATCTTGCAGTGAACCCTTCATCCAACATAATATTACTAGTCTTAATATCTCTGTGAATCACTTGATTTTCACATTCTTGATGCAAGTAAGCCAAGGCAGAAGCCACCCCGAACAAAATTTTCCTCCGATGAGGCCACGACAAGATCATCCTCGACTCGAATAATGCCTTATCAAGACTTCCATTAGGCATCCAATCATAAACTAACAAAATTTCACCTTTCTCATGGCACCAACCTTGGAGCCTAACAAGATTTCTATGCCTAAGAGATCCAATTATGGACAATTCGGATAAAAATTCCGTCTTCCCCTGTCCGTTATGACTACACCTCTTCACCGCCACTACATCACCGGTGGCCGGCAATACCCCCTTATAAACTGTCCCAAATGCACCGTAACCGATAATTCGGGTTGAATTGAACCCTTTAGTGGCAAATTTTAGCTCCTTGTAGCTAAATTCTTTGGGCATTTTGATCACATCGGAAGCCAAAGTCTCAGATTTTTTCACCCGCTTGAATTTCTTGTTGTATGCCCAAATTACTACCAAAGTGCAAAATGCCAGAAAAAACGCGCCGGCGGTTACTACCCCGACAACAGCCCCGGGACCTTCTTTGCACAACTGCGAGTGACACTTCCCACTAGTTTTGCTCTCATGCGACGCCGTACTATTAGCAGCAGGTGCTAAAGCAGGTGGCGGCGGGTTCGCTGTATTCGCCGTCGGGTTCATTAGAGTAGAGGTTGGCGGCGGAGGTGGTGTCTCCGGCGCCACCTCGGAATTGGAATTGGGATTTTCTTCGAAGGACGAACTGAAACTCCACCATTCAATGCCGTGAATCTCTGTGCTCCCCTGAGTAGATCCGGAGAACCCAACAAACATGAAATCATTAACTACGTACTCGTTGAGATCAAGAGGTGCTGAGATAATGGGCTCTTTTGGCTTCAAATTAGAGTACGATACGTAGACATTGATTACCCGAGTTGACCCGGAGTAGTCGACCCACGAGTTAATCAGGTCACCGCTCTTGAGATCGACGCCGATGGTCTCTAAATCACCCACCGGGTTTGAAACCATTGAGTTCAGATCCAACCCCACGTGATTCCCGTTAATGTCCTTGAATTCAACGTCCATTAAGGTATCAAACTCCACCGCCACGACGCCGCTATGGACCCCTTTGGAGTCCATGACACCCAAAAATCCACCCGCATCACCCACCGTCTGGTCGTCCGGCGAAATCACAAAAGCCAAACCGCCTCCAATGGAGGACGGATTCAAATTCATCACGGATAATGAGAAGAATGTAGAAAAGCTCGCCGGATTCTCTGTCCCTGGCTGCCGGAACCTGATGGGTTTGGAGTAAAGAATCCTTCCGGCACCGGAATTCGGAACGGCCAGATCACGCGTAAGCCGCAAACTCCCATTGTTCCAGTGGGCGTCTCCGAGTAGCTTCAAGCTCGTCAGTGTAAGCGTTCCAAAATCAAATTCAGTTTCGGAGAAAATGCCACCAGTGAAAATCAAAAACAGAAAAGCATTCACCAAAATTCTTGAGAAAAGCCTGCCGGAAAATGACATCATTGCTGACATACAGAACAACCCATCAGAGGAAAATGAACTCTTTTTTGTATCTAATGCATAGCCAATCAAAAAGATCTGCAAAACAGATACAGAGAAAGAGAAGAAAAGGGAGAGAAAAAGATAGTTTTAGAGAAGAAATCCAGGGAATTAAGAAGCAATATAAAGAAACATACAAAAATTCTGGAGATTAGAATCCAAAGACAGATAGAAGAAAACATGTGCCTGACACGTGTTAACTCTAACGGTTCTAATAATTTTTCTGTGTCATAAAATATTTCTTTTTCAGACTTTCGTAGGAAACTTTGATATACTGCCACGAATTCGTGTGTTCCGACGTATGCAGATCATTTTTATAATATGAATATTTAACAAAATTTGATTAACTGTTAAAATATATATATATATATATATATATGAGAACGTTCATCCTCCATAAAAATTTTACAAGTATTTTTGACAAATAATCGTGACCTTTAATTAAGCAAATTCTACGATTAGTATCTCATGGATCTCAAGTGATTATAACTAACTCTCTCATGATCCTAACGAAATACATACTGATCGTACGATTTGTTTAAATTAAAGATCACAATTATTCGTAAAAAATATTTGTCAAATTCATGTGTAGAAAGAACACTTCCATAATATATATATATATATATACTTGAAAATTATCATTATTATACTTGAAAATAGGCTTTGTCATTGACTCCATAGAACCAATTTATCCTTCACTTTATTTTTACAGTCCTCTTACGAAATGTGGGGCCCTCAATTATTTTAAACACAAAACTCGCATTTTTCTCTCTCTTTTTTCCTTCTTTTTTAGGGTTAGATTTTCGTGGATGAAACCTAACTTTAAGACATCGATGTAATAAAAAAAATTTCATTTTCAGCGTCAAGCAACTTTTTGCTTAATAATTATGTACTCTTAAATAGTTTAATAATATATTGTTTCAAAAGTGTGATTAATTCAATTAATTAATTCTCTTGGTTATTATCGATGTTTGTATCAATTGAGCTCTTATTTTTTACTCAAAGAATTTCTTTAATCAAATGAAGAACTGTTAATTTTTTTCTCAAAATACGATAGAAATATATTATTAACAAACAGGTTCTAATTATAATTTGAGACAAACATTTTTCATTATAATGTAAAGAAAATCCAAAGAGAAGTATATATAATCTATTTAATTAATAATTAAATTTGAGGGTTGAGCTTTTTCAAAAATGAAAATAATTATCGATCTACCTCGTATTAATTGGTTAATAATTGCAGTTTTCACAATATGGATCGAAGTTCCAGAATTGGTATTTACTGTTAAAAGGAAGGGGAAAAAAAATTATGTCTAGCAAGTTAAGCTCTTGTTTGACAACCATTAAGTGAGAAAAAACATTTTTTGAGTAGTGATTTTTAAGAGAATATATATTTAAAAAATAGGAAAAATTTTAAATTTACGTACAGAATATTTATTATATGAATATGTGATTGAAAATGAATATATAAAAAAAGTGTTTAAAAATAATGATCGGCAAACGAGATCTAAAATATGGCTCCCAGTAGTCCTCCACCCTTTCCAAAAACATCAAATTTTGAGACGACAAAAGTAAATTATGTTGATCACTGTTTGGTTGAAACTTGAACATAAAAAACCGAAGAAGCATCAAGACAAAACCAAATCCATTCTTAAAACACAATTTTTAGAGAATGTTTGAGCCTCATTTTTTATTTATTTTTTTTTTTTTCAAATAACTTGTTTGACAAGGACTCAGAAATGTTAGTGGATAATTTAGTCAACAAAGACACTGTGTGACAGTTCATATTAGCTGCTAGCTAGAAACCAAGAATCCAATGACAAGTATCTTTCAACTCCTAATTATTTTGTTGATTAAAATTCAAATTTTAATTTAAACGAAATTCAACAATTAATTTTAATTAAATATTTTATAATATTTCTAATTTTTCAATCATATATTTTATCAATTTTATCAAAATTTATTAAAATATATCTAATTTTAATCCCAGCAAACTGGGACTAATTGAGACAATACTGTACTTCTAATTTGATAAACTAGTACTTCTTAAGACTCCATGAAATATGAATGTAAAACAAAATTAATTTATTATTGTGTATAAACTATTAAAATAAACGCTAATAACATTGATGTCCTTATATATTATCATTGTTTGTGGTATTGTAATTTTTTTTCCATAATAAATATTATTTGTCCCTATTTGATTTCATTTTAAAAATTTATTTGTTCTCAAATTTGTTTTTAATCGCATATTTTATTAGATAAATAACTTTTATCAATTATTCAAACACATATTTCATTAACTTTTATTAAAAGCTACTAAAATCTGGAGTTTTAGCTAAACCATATGGGGCCTAATTTAATTTAGTTAGACTTAAATTTGATATTTTATCTATAGATATTGAAAAAGTTAAAAAGTAGAATATAAAATCAGTTTTTCTTAAGTTCACCAAATATTTAGAACAATTTTTTTTATTGGGCTTTAAAATCAATCACAAAAGGGACCTTAGTGATGTCGGGCGTTTTCTTTATTATTATTATTATTATTATTATTATTATTTTGGAGACCAAGGAGAATTGTGTAACTTCGAAGGATTTTAATTTTTTTGTTTAGGAAAATTTAGTAGTTAAAAACTTTTAAATTCGGAAAAATTTTGAACTGTCACTTCTGGATTTTGAGACGGTTGAACCAGTCTTCTTTAATAGAAGGTTAAGATATTTAAAAGTTGTGTTGATTAGATTCCACAAGATTTATTTCTTCATCAAAAAGTCTAATACATGAATATTCGTGTCGAGAAAGTGTGAATGACAGCAGTAACTTTTTCTATAGCAGTAATAACAAGAAATTTTGTGTTCAATTTCTGTTCACGTATCGACAATCCCTTCTGATCTCTCCTTGCTCTTCTGTAAGTGGATTATTTTCTGATAAAATGAGTAGAGCCTTGGAAAATTGTTCATGAAAATAAGCATTGTCAGCAGCCATCTTCTTCACAAAAGGATACGTATCAGGATCAGAAACTAGCTGTTGATCAACTAGCAAGAGTCCTTTGTGACTCAAAATATTCTTGTAGTACATATTATCGAGCAACATCGGAGTAATGCGGTCGTTTCTTGCATATTGGACTGCTTTCGGGTTGGGTTCCGGGGAAGGGCACCGGCGTTTGAGGTAGTTGGCGTACTCAGGGTCTAAGGTTGGATCCACTGTTGGGTAGATTCTGTGAACAATGTTCGTGCAGTGAACTCGTCCTATGGAGTGAGCACCTAAAGAAAAATAAATAAGTTTACTCCTATATGATATATGCATGTGTATAAACCAGGAAAACGTTCCTATTATGATCTTGTACACTGTTGGTTAAATAGTGATAAATTCAAGAATTCAGGTGAGCTTGGACGGATCCATGTGCGGACGGGTGGCAGTCAAGTGACCGCCCAATATAAAGGGAAAAAAGTCCGACGGAGCCAGCATGGACGGCCAAAGGGGCTCATTGGGTGCTGGCTAAGCGCCTACATTTGTGGACAATTTTGTGCATTGACTATGCTGTCATATAAAGTGAGTTTATAAACAAAAAGAATTTCGAAAATTAATATAAACACGTGTATAATAATATATACACGGTATTTACGTCTGAGAATTCGAGGGGTCAACGGGTGCGTACCTAGAAGAGCTACTGTTCCTTCAGTATCAATACCAATTGATTGGAATCTCGAAAGAACTGAAGGGATGCTGTCATTGTGGTTGGGGATGAAATCTTCGACTTCTGCTATATAACTTTCCTTGCTATCCTTTCGACGTGTTTGGTTGAAACTTGAACATAAAAAACCGAAGAAGCATCAAGACAACCAAATCCATTCTTAAAACACAATTTTTAGAGAATGTTTGAGCCTCATTTTTTGTGTAGTATGCATTTTGAAATAGTGGATTGGTGGAGAATGTGTGACTAAATATTAAGAAAATTTTTTAAATTTGTGTGTAATATTAATTTATTATAAATAAATAAATAAATAAATAAATAAATATATATATATATATATATATATATATATTTTTTTTTTTATACAAGCAAAATAAAATTTATACCAAGACAAAACCGTCTCTTGCTGAAAGAGCCACAATATCAGCACAAGAAACTTTTATGGGACATTCCTTCTCAAGGGCCAATTTGATCGTGTTTATGTACTTAAAATTCCTCATTCCAAAACTTCTTGATGATGTCTTCTCTGATTTGATGCCGTTTGCAGTGTCCAACAATAATGATGCATCGCATGACTACAATAAAGTCATCATGCAAATTATGTCTGTCGAACTTGTTGGAAAAGAGACGAGTAGACCAAAATTAACATGTTCGGTTGAGAAATGTCATTACCTTAACAATACAATCATGAAAGAGATTTCTGATCCATGAAACGGCTGTATTTCCGTGCTTATTGTACAAGCCGATGACTTGTTCTTCGATGATTTCTTCAGCTCTTGGGCAACTCTCTGAGTAATAATTCAACTGCAGTTCGCTCTTACCTTCACAAGAACATATTAGTATCACTACTCGGATTTCTCAAGAACAACTATATATTCACACACGTTCTAAAGAAGGCTTTACACGATCAATACGTAAATACATGACACTTAGGAATATTTGGTAAATTAGATTGAATCAAAACCGTATGCATTCTAGCATTCCTCAAACAATATATATCGAATCGAAGGTGCTCGGTAACAAGAGGCTCACTCGATGATGAAAAAACACACATGTCACAAGACTATCTAACAGTTTAATGTACGTTTACACGAAAACGACTGAAATATTTGCAATTTGACCAAAGGTGAATAAGTGAAACAAGTTGCTGGCATAGAAAACATACCAGAATACAACTGTAAGAGAAACAGTAATATCTGAAAAATGGAAATTGGGACAAGAGTGGCCATTTTTCTTAGGATTTAGGCTCTTCAACTCTATTTGATATACCAAGTGACAGTTGAACCTTATATAGGACTGGATTTCGTGGGCGCACGATGGAAATTCCAGGTCTCTTCCCACTAAAAGCCTCTAGTTTTGACTTGTCGGCTAATATTCTCACCATGCGTGAGAATTGAGGCCCACAAAAGTGTGAATTAAGTTGTGGTTATGCCATTACTTAGCGGTCTTAATGTTGTTGAATGCACCATCAATAATAATACTTGATACAACATTTCTAATATCCTAACTTTAGTTCTTAATTTGGTACAAAATGCTGGTTATACGTCTTTCTTGTTTTATTATGTCTAGTACTATTCAGTTAACATATCAAACATGTCTGATAAGATATATACTAAATTTGTTTCGATCCACATCACCCTAGTTATTTAACTAAGATTAAAGGTATACTCTAAATGTTAATTTAACATACTAAACTCTTCTTATATGTATCTACTGAATTTGTTCCAACCCACATCACCCAAGTTATCTATCTTGGACTATTGAGAATATAGTTATGCTTAGAAAACAAGGTATCTTTATCAGAAAGGATAAAATGTATGGTGGATCAAAACTTTGTCACTTTGCACAATTGGTGGTGGAATATTAATTAATGAACTAATTACACAAATTGGGAAGAATTGTGACAATCACTTGTATCCACCAAAAATAAATATGTGCACGCGCAATGATTAATGCCTGGAATGGAAGAGTAATGTAATTGCCTACTGTTCCTTCAGTATCAATACCAATTGATTGGAATCTCGAAAGAACTGAAGGGATGCTGTCATTGTGGTTGGGGATGAAATCTTCGACTTCTGCTATATAACTTTCCTTGCTATCCTTTCGACCAGTCTTCATCTCGACTCGTGGCCCACCTAACTATAACACGAGATGTCACAAAAGCAGGCAAAAATCCATCATATATAAAATGTATTTCGGGGCTGTTTTCACAGTTTTTTTTTCACTCGAAATCAATGGACTTAGAACTAGAAATTTAAACATACAAGCAAAATAAAATTTATACCAAGACAAAACCGTCTCTTGCTGAAAGAGCCACAATATCAGCACAAGAAACTTTTATGGGACATTCCTTCTCAAGGGCCAATTTGATCGTGTTTATGTACTTAAAATTCCTCATTCCAAAACTTCTTGATGATGTCTTCTCTGATTTGATGCCATTTGCAGTGTCCAACAATAATGATGCATCGCATGACTACAATAAATTCATCGTGCAAATTATATCTGTCGAGCTTGTTGGAAAAGAGACGAGTAGACCAAATTAACATGTTCGGTTAAGAAATGTCATTACCTTAACAATACAATCATGAAAGAGATTTCTGATCCATGAAACGGCTGTATTTCCGTGCTTATTGTACAAGCCGATGACTTGTTCTTCGATGATTTCTTCAGCTCTTGGGCAACTCTCTGAGTAATAATTCAACTGCAGTTCGCTCTTACCTTCACAAGAACATATTAGTATCACTACTCGGATTTCTCAAGAACAACTATATATTCACACACGTTCTAAAGAAGGCTTTACACGATCAATACGTAAATACATGACACTTAGGAATATTTGGTAAATTAGATTGAATCAAAACCGTATGCATTCTAGCATTCCTCAAACAATATATATCGAATCGAAGGTGCTCGGTAACAAGAGGCTCACTCGATGATTAAAAAACACACATGCCACAAGACTATCTAACAGTTTAATGTACGTTTACACGAAAAAGACTGAAATATTTGCAATTTGACCAAAGGTGAATAAGTGAAACAAGTTGATGGCATAGAAAATATACCAGAATACAACTGTAAGAGAAACAGTAATAACTGAAAAATGGAAATTGGGACAAGAGTGGCCATTTTTCTTAGGATTTAGGCTCTTCAACTCTATTTGATATACCAAGTGACAGTTGAACCTTATATAGGACTGGATTTCGTGGGCGCACGATGGAAATTCCAGGTCTCTTCCCACTAAAAGCCTCTAGTTTTGACTTGTCGGCTAATATTCTCACCACGCGTGAGAACTGAGACCCACAAAAGTGTGAATTAAGTTATGGTTATGCCATTACTTAGTGGTCTTAATGTTGTTGAATGCACCATCAATAATAATACTTGATACAACATTTCTAATATCCTAACTTTAGTTCTTAATTTGGTACAAAATGCTGGTTATACGTCTTTCTTGTTTTATTATGTCTAGTACTATTCAGTTAACATATCAAACATGTCTGATAAGATATATACTAAATTTGTTTCGATCCACATCACCCTAGTTATTTAACTAAGATTAAAGGTATACTCTAAATGTTAATTTAACATACTAAACTCTTCTTATATGTATCTACTGAATTTGTTCCAACCCACATCACCCAAGTTATCTATCTTGGACTATTGAGAATATAGTTATGCTTAGAAAACAAGGTATCTTTATCAGAAAGGATAAAATGTATGGTGGATCAAAACTCTGTCACTTTGCACAATTGGTGGTGGAATATTAATTAATGAACTAATTACACAAATTGGGAAGAATTGTGACAATCACTTGTATCCACCAAAAATAAATATGTGCACGCGCAATGATTAATGCCTGGAATGGAAGAGTAATGTAATTGCAAAAACTTGGATTGTCACTCTGAAGAATGCTCGAGAATCAATGGACGAGAAAATCAGGTCTTAATTGCATCGTAAAACTCGAGATCATACCAGGTAACAGAGAGAAAAGTTGTATTACTTCCTCGAGAAATATTCTGGTAACGATATTGTGCTCATGGTAACAAGAATCAAACCAAATTGTATATGAAAGAAATTTATTGGTTAAATTAGTCTGAGAAATTAATTGAGGAAGTTGGAATAGAAAATTCAAAGAGTACTCGCCGCGATACAAATGTAAAAGGCCAAAAGTCATTGTAACATGGAAACATGACCTTCTTCGAGACACGAAGTGGCATAGGCTGTGTAATATAAAAGGAACTAAACCTTAAATCAAAAGAGCACCAAATAAGCTAATTTGTTCACAGTAAATTTGAAATTGACCCTTCATCTTAGGATATATAATGATATTTAGATTAATTACCGGATTTAAGCCTGCCCACAGCATCATAGAGTGATCTTTTTCCATGCTTCTTGAGCCACTGCACACGGAACTTATAGTTAGCTTATAAACAAACAAATTATGCAGAATTCTTTCTTCTTCTTTCTTTTTATTTTTATTTTTTTGTTGGGGGGGGGGGGGTGGGGGGGGGCGAAGATGGATAGAGTCATCAAATAAGGCAGAATCGGAGACAATGATAAAGCAAGCAGTGGCAGAGCCCATGAGGGTTTGTGTTCCAATGAATCTCCAGCCAACGTTGATTTTTTTTTTTCTGGCTTATTTTACTATATATGCTTTACCGTTACATTGTTATCAAAACATTGCTTGTGTATGGAAAATTTCCACTTTTCGATTTAAAACTTTGCAAACTATTACTAATTTTTTATGCTTCTCGAAGCTCAACGCAAACAAGTTTATAGAGGTCATAAGTTACAAATTTATTTTATTTTTTATTTCTATTTTTATTTTTTAGAGAAGTAGTGAACTTCGCTAAGCCATAGTTTTTTGATATGGTCGGGCATTTGGTCTAGTGGTATGATTCTCGCTTAGGGTGCGAGAGGTCCCGAGTTCAATTCTCGGAATGCCCCATTCCTATTTTTAACATTCTTCAGTTTGGGATTTTTCTCTTCGGGCAAGTTTTAAATAGACCCCCATCAACAATTTAGCAATTGGACCAATAAATGCAGCGGACCTAGATTCTTCTGTATTGGCTTTTAAAGGCCTACTTCTGTTGCAAACTTTCATTTTCATCCTTGTATTTTTATTTTAAGAATAATAAAAACACCAGAGCTTCTCTCTTTATTCGTTACATGAAGAATTTGTAGAACAAACAAATTTTGAGATCGATTCTTCAAACGAGTCACCATCTTACATAGCACGTTAAGGATAATATCGAACATCGATTAAAGATAATATAAATAAATAACAAATAACGATTCGAACTAATCATTTTAATAATCTTCGGCAATATAGAATGAGATGCGTCTGGTTCAAGGGCCATTAAACAAAAAGTTCAACCTTTTAAGATAAATTCCCAAGTTTTAACATAATATTAAACTCAAATAAGTGATTTTATCCGATTGAGACTCAGATGAGTACACGAATTTCAAAATTGGTAAATGAGTCACCATCCTACAATGCATGTTAAGGTTAATATCTTACATTGATTAAAGATTAAACAAATAAACAATATATAAGAATTTGAGCTACTATTCTATAAACAATAAAATACTGTATAGAAGGCAAATAGCATCATAAATCTAACATTGTAAACGGATTAGGAACAATATTAATAAGGGTTGTTCTGGTGTACATAATTTGGGTACATAAAGGTATCCACACCCTGAGGTGGGACCCACACAAAATGGGCCCCACTCCATGTGAGGGGTATGGACACCCCTATGTACATATTTTATGTACACCAAGATTTATCCGATTAATAATATCCAGCTCATTCATACGGTCATGATAGTCTAATTGAAGTTGGGAAAAACTCTTGGGATGTGAATTCAAGCAATAAAGAAGGTTACAAATTTTTAATTCGAACGAACAAATTGGTTGTCTTTAAAGTTTTGATTTGATATATAAGTATAGAAATTCTTGTTTAGAGTTTTGCATCGAATTGCATCTTTTAAAGAGAAACATGAAATAATTTCAAGGATTAATTCATCATCAATTCTCCCATATCTTTGTTGTATAACTCATTTGACAAATTATATACGTAGATGTAAGATGATTACACATTTCTTACAAGATTCTGGTAGATGAGGATAAGTAGATAAGAACCATTATTCAAATTTAATTTTATCTCTACTTTGATGTACAAAAAGAAGTTAACTACATGTTTGGAAAAAATTATTATGGGGAATAATGGATTCCACGAAATGAATAGATAATAAATA